TTTGTGCTTCAAGGCAAGTGATCTACCACTTGAACTACAGCTTTTTGTCATTAACTGGAGATGAGTCTCATAGACTTTCTTGCCCAAGCTGGCTTCAAACCATGATCCTCAGATCTCAGCCTCCTGAGTGGCTATGATTACAGGCATGAGCCACTGATACCCAAATGGTTTGATTTCTTTTAAGGCCTGTCTTCATGGTTTGCAAATAGCCATATTTTCCCCGTGTCTTCAAGTGGCTGCTCTTCTCATATGATGAGTGGAACACCTACCCTAATGACTTCATTTGAAGTTCATTAGTGTGTGTGTGTGTGTGTGTGTGTGTTTCATGCTTTCACTTAGCTTTTTCTGCTTGTTACTGGTGCTCTGCCACTTAAGCTACACTTCTGGTAGCTGGTTGATTCTAGATAAAGAGTAGCTGTGGCTTATTTTGCTCATTCGCCAGTGCTCTGCCTCAACTCTGACTCTCAGATCTTAATTTAGCCTCCTGAGTAGGTAGGAGGTATAAAGGTCATTAACCTTTTTTTTTTTTTTTGCAGTCCTGGAACTTAAACATTGGGCACTGTCCCTGAGCTCCTTTTGCTCCTTTGCTCTCTACCAGTTTAGCCACAGCCCCACTTCTTTTTCTGTGATTAATTGGAGATAAAAGTTTCACAGACTTTCCTGCCCGGGCTGGCTTAAGCCACTAGTGCCTTTACTTCTTTGAATACCCTCTTTGGCCAGGTGCTGGTGGTTCACACCCCAAATCCTAGATACTCAAGAGGCTGAGATCTGAAGATTGCGGTTTAAAGCCAGCCTGAGCAGGTTATCTCCAATTAACCACCAAAAAAGAAAAAGAAAGGTTGAAGTGGAGCTGTGCTCAAGTGCTAGTTCTAATAAAGTGTTAGCCGTGAGAGAATAAAAACAAAAACCAACTAGATGTATAACTCTGGTAGAGTACCTGCCTAGCAACCTCAAGGACCTGAGTTCAAACCCAGTACTGGGGGGAAAAGTTAGCTTCAGGCATGACTACACTCCTGAAATCTCAAAACTGGAGGCTGAGACCAAACATCACAAGTTTTAGACAAGCTTGTGTGGAGTAGATTTCCAGGCCAATGTGGGCTCCATAGCAAGATTGTTTCAAAACAGCAGAAAAGGTCTTTTCTCCCATTGAGTGGTTTTAGTTTTTGTTAAAAGTCATTTCTGGCACTTGTGGCTCATGTCTATAATCCTTGCATCTTAGGAGCCTGAGATCTGAGGGTAGCATTTCCAAGTCAGCCCGGGCAGGAAAGTCCACAACATTTATTTTCAATTAACTACCAAAGAGGCAGAAGTGAAGCTGTGGCTTAAGTGGTAGAGCACTAGCTTTGAGTGAAAAAGCTAAGGGATAGTGCCCAAGCCCTAAGGACTGGCACCAAAATATATATTATACACATATAAGTAAAAAGCACAGGCTTAGGCTCTACCTGAGTCAGATACTGATTGTAACCACTTTTTCTGAGCTCCACATCTGTCTCTGAGGTTCAAGCTACTGTCCACTTTTGCTTGTTCTATTGCAGTAGCCAACTCATCTGTTCATGGTAGCAATGTTCACTGATTGCTCCTCTGAAGCAGTTTGATCTTTCTTTCTTTCTTTCTTTCTTTCTTTCTCATGGGGGTTGAACTCTAAGGCCTGAGCTCTGTCAGCTCTTCAGCTCAAGGCTAGCGCTCTACCACTTGAGCTACAGCGCCACTTCTGGTTTTCTGGTGGTTTATTGGAGATAAGAGTTTCATGGACTTTCTTGCCCGGGCTGGCTTTGAACTGTGATCCTCAGTTTTCAACCTCCTGAGTAGCTAGGATCACAGGCATGAGCCACTGGTGCCAAGCTCAGTTTGATGTTTCTATAGAACAAAAGTCAGAGATTGCTGTTACCACAGGAATCACATCCAGACCTCTGAGCAGAGCTTACAGCACCCTCTCCTGTCAACATATGGTGTTGGTTCCCTCCACCTCTATGGGGCCCTTTCTCTTCCCAGAAGGGCTGGAACCACCTCATGTAAGCCCAGGTTTATGAGGTCTTCTACACCAAAACAAGGCCCCAGCACATTTGCTTCCTGTAGCACTTTGTTTTGTTTTGGTACAAGGGTTTGAACTCAGGGCCTCAGGTACTCCTGCTTGGCATTTTCTCTCACAGCTGGCACTCCACTATTTGGGCCATGCCCTCCAATCAGGGTTTGATTGGCTAGTCAGGCATAGTTTCTCAGACTTTTCTTCCCTAAGCTAACTTCAGATCGCAGATTCCTGAGTAGCTAGGATTGTAAGCAACCAGTGTCCATTTTTGAGAAAAATGCTATGTAATCTAGGATGGTCCCAAATTTATGATCTAATTGCCTCAGCCTTCCAAGTGCTGGAATTATATGTGTACATCACCATGCCCCGCTGTTTTTTACCTTTTAATTTTGAAGTAACTGGATTCAACAGAAAGTTGCACATGTAATTGTCCAGGAAGTTCTGCAGACCCTTGTCCCAGTTTTACTGTCAACACCTTTCACACTGCAATAGTGTCAAGACCTAGAAATTGACTTTGGCACTCCATAGAACATACTGATTCTTCTATGTTGTGTCCCAATTTGTGATTGTATTTGGCTGTACACAATTTTGTCATGCACAGCCCTGTGGAAGCACGTCAGATTGTGTGTATCTTTTCAACATAAGACTCCTTTGAAAGACAGCATTCCTCTTAGCCTTACCTCTAACAACAATTAGTATGTTCTACATTATTTCACCAGTGTTGCATACCATATGTATCCCTCTAAGATTGGCCTTGTTTTTTAAGCTCAGCACAGTTTTCTGACTTTTTCATCCAACTTGTTGTGTGCATAGTAGTTTATTATAGGGGTTTCACCCTGAGTGCACAGCAATTTCTTGAAAGTAACACTGAATTCTGAGTGACATGTTCTGTGAAGCTAATTTAAGTGATTTTTCTTTTCTTCTTTTTTTTTTTCTGGTGATGGTCCTGGGGTTTAAACTCAGGGTGCTGTCCCTGAGCTTATTTTGCTCAAGGCTAGCACTCTACCACTTGAGCCACAGTGCCACTTCCAGCTTTTTCTGAGTAGGTAATTGGAGATAAGAGTCTCACAGGGACCTTTCTGCCTGGGCTGGCTTTGTACCACGATCCTCAGATCTCAGCTTTCGAGTAGCCAGGATTACAGGTGTGAGCCTCCAACACCTGGCCTATGATAAGTTTTAATAGTAGGTATGGGACTAAAGGGTGTTTACTTGTTTACTATTGAGTTTTCTACAAAAAGTGTGAAAGACACTTCTATTTTAGACTTGTATACCCTTTCTTCCAAACACTGACCACATTTTAGGTTTATTTAATGTTGGATATTCAATTTGGACCTAGTACATACTAGGTAAGTGGTCTGCTACTGAACTATATCCCTAGCCTGAGACTCATATTTGCCAGTGTTCAATGTTTATGTCTTTCCCTTAAAAGAGAAACTTGTTGAAGGTAACTTGTCAGTTTTAAGACTGAGACCTTGGCTGAGATGAAAATGGCAGTGTATGTATCCTGCAGAGTACAGATAAACATTGTCTTTCTGAAACCCGTTTTACTGATAAATGTGCTACAAGTAGCAGTATATACCAGATTAGAACTCAGAGGTAGGCCTGTGCATTGAATGTGAAAGGCTCTAGGTTTGAGTTGCAACTCAAAAGGAAAAATGAACATAGGGTTGAATGCAGCAACATTCTGTCCAGAAAGATTATCTGCTGGTGTGGAACTAGTTCTATAGGGGGAGGAGTCACAATACAACAGTGGCACCTTAGAGCAGCCTGAATATTCCCACAGACCCATAGGCTAGCAAAATAATACATTGTAGCTGTGCATGAAGCTTTCACACAGCACAGGGCTAAACAGATAGGATATGGCAGGATGTAACTGCACAGACAAAGCCTTTCTCAACTGGTACCTCAGCAGTCTTTCCACCCACTATCCCAGGATAGCTGCCCCAATTCATCATATCACAGATTACAACATTCAGATGGCTCTTCCTTGTGTTTACAAGTATCCATCTCCAGCAGCCTTCTTGCTCTTCATTGGTTAGAAATGATCATTATTAAAGCAACCACTGGGTTGATTGATTTGCCTCCAGGTTGGGGTAACCTGGCTCTTTATTTTTGCATTCTTTACTAGTGCAAATTAATTGTACAATGTGGGAGGTTTCATTCTAATAATTCCACTCATGCATTTACTTAGATATTTACCCTATTACTTCATACCCCTCTCACCCATGCTTTTTTTTACACTCTGCTTTGTTCTTGAGATGCTGAGTACATTACCTACCACCTTTCACAGAACATAGGATAAAACACATTTGAGAGGATATCTTAAGCTTTAATATATGCCTTTCTAAAGCGATCAATGATTTTGTCTCAAAGAATAAGATGTGGCCAGGAAGGAAGTAGAGAAGATGCTGGGCATGTGCCAGACTGGTCCCCACATGAGGCCTGCTGATCATCTTATTAGCAATAAAGAGACTGCTTGGTGGTGTTCTTGGTGGTTTATAGACATGGATTTTTAAAACACCCACAAGAGAAAAAGCATACTCTTTGAATATAACATTGACAGGAAGTCTAACAGGTATGAGTTTAGTTTTCAGTTTTTATTTGGATCTGAACATGTGAAATGGCTTTCTGAGGGAAGGTCTAAATTCCAGAGGCTTTGGGCTTGAACTCAGAGCCTTATGCATGCTATGCAAAGTAGCTGAGCTCTGTCCTCACTCAGCTCTTTGGATGCCCTATCATGACCATTGGTGCCAGTACTAGAGCTTGAACTCAGGCTGTGGGCTTTGTGTGTGTGTGTACACGTGCACACGTGGGCGCTGCTTCTGGGGCTTGAACTTGGGGCCTAGATACTATCCCCGAGTTTTTTTTTTGCTCAGGGCTAGCCCTGTACTACTTGAGCCACAGCTCCAGTTCCAACTTTTTTGGTTGTTCACTGGATGTAAGAGTATCACAGATTTTGCTTGCCCAGGCTGGCTCTAAACTGCAGTCCTCCGATTTCAGCCTCCTGAGTAGCTAGGATAACAGGCATGAACCACTAATGCCTGGGTTTTCTCTTAAGCCTAGACTGCATGCACAACTGTAAGGTCATGTGTTCTGTAGCTATGTGAACTTCATTAAAAAAAAACAAAAGCAAAAAGCCCACATCTTTTGGAGGGCTCCCTGGGAGCCTGTGTTGAAACACTGGGGCAGAGGGCCAGCAAGCACTGCCTGCTCAGCATGCTCTACCTATATGTGCAATGGCAGTGAGCAGAGGGTGAGTCCCATGCTTCAGTGCCAAGGGCTGGCAATATACAGCAGCCACCAAGCCTGAAACAAGGAGAGGTGTTCACAGCAGCACAGCTGTTGAGTCACTTCATTCTGACCTACCCAGGGGTCAGGCTAACACACCAGGCTTTACCTGAGAATTCTACATCAAGGCTGATACCTGTGGTGCTGCTGTTCTTGGAGTGGGGGTAGAGATGAGTCAGCCTGATCTGGCCGCTCATAGGTACTTGCCACACTGCTTGCCTTTGTGTAATTGTGAGCACAAATTATCTTTTGGAGCATCACCATGGCAGGATGCCCTGGTGCATGATGAAGGGTGGCAGGCAGGACTGGGAGGTTCTGTTCTGTAGTCCAGGTCAGGCCGTTGCTCAGAGGGACACATACAGTTGTGGGCTAGTCACAGTTCTTAGGGCTACATCAGGCCCCATAAGAAACACTCAAGGAAGCCACACAGGCAAGGCCAGAGGTGCTGGTCATTCATCACTCATCCTTCTCCTGTGGCAGAGGAAGGTGCCATTCTGCAGGGGGCCTCTGCCTCAGGGCCCATACCAGGGTGTGTTTCTGTGCAGCTTGGATGCGGGCCCGCTCGCTCTCACAGAGGGATTGCTGTGCAAACAAGACTATGGTCACTTCCTGCTTCACAGCTGGGTCTCAAAGTCCCAAGCGCTATCATGACCCCAGATCACCTACCCCTTAGCATCTTTCTGAATACAGATATTCAATAGCAAGTATACAGTGCTTCTAGTATACCTTGACAGCTGTTTCATATTAGTACACATCAATCTAGCTAAATTATTGTTCCTTATAATTTACTAAGAAAAACTGTGATGTATACCATCCTAATTTCAGGAATTTAAAAACATCTGGGTTTCTACCTGCACAGGCCTAGTGAGTCTGAGGCAGTCTTACCTGCCAAGCCTGAGGCTAGGGGTACTGAGTAGGGAGGAGAAAAGTCTGAAGGTGCAACTATGAGGATGAAAATGAAGCCAAACACCTGCACAGGGCTGTGTGTACTAGGATTCTGCAATCTACAAGCTGGTCTCAGCCACTGACTCCACACAGGCAGACACAGCCATGTATTATGACAGGGTGGAATCCTGGCAATAAACCCCTGGTAAGCAGCAGATTCAAAGCAGACCTATTTGGCTGTCTATATTCAAGCTCTCTCTCTATATATGTATTTTTTGGTCGGTCATGGGGCCTGAACTCTGGGCCTGGGAACTATCCCTCAGTTCTTCAGCTCAAGGCTAGTACTCTACTACTTGACTGCCATTTCCAGCTTTTTATGCTTATGTGGTGCTGAGGAATTGAACCCAGGGACTCATGCATGCCAGGCAAGCACTGAGCTACCTTCCCAGCCCAAACCCAGTGATTTGTGTTTTGTAACTAAGTGCTCCAGCATAAAGCTATAGTACTAGTACATAAAATATTTGTGTTTAAAAAGCCACTAGAGGGCTGGGAATATGGCTCAGTGGTAGGGTGCTTGCCTAGCACGCATAAAGCCCTGGGTTTGAGTCCTCAGTACCACATAAACAGAAAAGGCTGGAAGTGGTGCTATGGCTCAAGTGGTGGAGTGCTAACCTTGAGCAAAAGAAGCTCAGGGACAGTGCCCAGGCCCTGAGTTCAAGCCCCAGAACTGGAAAAAAAAGAGAGAAAGAAAAAGAAAGAAAGAAAGGAAGGAAGGAAGGATAAAGAAAGAAAGAATGAAAGAGAAGCCTGACAACACAACCAGCTGAAATCTAAGGATCACAGTTCAAAACCAGTGGAGGCAGTCAGGTCCATGAAACTCTCTTATCTCCAACTAGCTACCAGAAAACCAGAAGTGGAGCTGTGGTCAAGTGGTAGAAATCCAGCCATGAGCAGAAAAAAAAAACAAGCCAGCACCAAATAAAAAAAATAAATAGGAAATGAAAGACCTTTTTAACGTCCCTAATACCTTCCTAGGTCCAAATTGTAAGAGCTGTCATATTTCCCTAGAGAAGGAATGATTTTCTGCTGCCTAGTTCCCTATATTTTCCCCCCTCTAAATTCTGTAGATAACTTTCTATGCTTAGATAGATTACTATCTATTTTTTTCCCAAGAGTGTCTTATTCCTCCTTTTAAAAATTAGCATTCATTAGTTGTACAAGGAAGGTTTGGTTTCATTGCGACATTTCCATGCATGTAAACAATGTATCCTGATCCTCACTCTCATACCTATTTTTATTTTTACTGGCATGAGCCACTGGCGCCAAGCTCTATTCTCTTAATGGTTCTGTATTCATATGTAGAAAAAATTATCTGGTCAATTTTATAGCAGTGAAATTTAGGATGTCTTCAGTTATTACATTATCATAAATACTGACACAGTATTTTGACTTTTTTTTTTGTAGGTCGTGGGGCTTTAACTCTGGGCTTGGGCGCTGTCCCTCAGCTCTTCAGCTCAAGGCAATTGCTCTACCACCTGAACCACAACACCACTTTAGGTTTTCTGGTGGTTAATCGGAGATAAGAGTCTCACGGACTGTCCTGCCCGGGCTGGCTTTGAATCTCGATACTCCTATCTCAGCCTCCTGAGTAGCTAGGATTACAGGCGTGAGCCACCAGCTCCCGGCTTAACATTTTGAATTTTAAACTGTACACTGTTATCCAATTACTTCTTGGGGATAACTTGGTAACTTCCAGAAGTAAAGCTTTGATATCCACAGGTATGCATTTGATATTTAGCTAGAACCACAGATACTCCCACAAATACTGTATTACTCTGAAATCTACAACACAGTGTCCTTAATACTTCGGACTTCCTATGAACCCAAACCAGCTCATATAGACTTAACTCCTCCCTCCCCGCCCCCGAAATACTAGGGCTTGAACTTAGGGCCTGAGCACTGTCTCTCAGCTTTTTTCCCCCTCAAGGTTAGTGCTTTACCACTTGAGCAACAGCTCCACATATGTCTTTCTGGTGGCGAACTAGAGAATCTCAAGGACTTTCCTGTCTGAGTTGTCTTCGAACCGAGACCCTCCGATCCCAGCCTCCGGTGTAGCTAGGACTACTGGTGTGGGACACCAGCGCCTTGTTAGGGCCTTCTTTCTTTCCTGCGTCCTTAACCCTGGTTCGGTGAAGGCTGGCTGGAGGACGACCGGCGCGATCACATCCCGATCCTCCGCAGGAGGGCGGTCGGCCCTAACCCTGAAGGTTCCTTAACGCCATTCCGTAGATAGAAAGTCGGGAAGCGGGAGGGAAGGACGCGCGTTCCGGCCTCCCACCGGGCGCACCTGGGCCTTGGCGCTCCGGCTCTCCTCCCAGTCGCGACAGCTGGTCAGGTCGCGTAGCCACTGCGCGCAGGCGGGCGGCTCGCCGTGGACGTAGTAATGGTGCAGGAAGTGCCTGGCGCTGCGGCAGAGCTTCCACTCCTCACGGTAGGCCTCGCAGGGCCGCGGCGGCTGCGGGAAGGGATAATGTCTGAGCAGGACCCGAGCGCCAAGCCCCACCCGCGACCCCGTCCCTCTTGCTTTCCTGGAGAGAGTGGGGAGTCAATCGGGGCCGTAGATCCGACCAAACTCAAAGAACCCCAGGTGCTCACCTGCCAGCTGCCGGCGTCTGCCATGTCAAGACGCCCGCCAAGCCACGCCTCGCCCCGACTCTAGCCAATAAAAAGGAGAAAGCATCATGACGGACAGAGACGATAAGCAATGAACTCCAAAATATCGTGTTCGCCCGCCTCCTTAAGAACGCCAATAGAAAGGACGTCTGAGTTCACGAGCCACTAACAGCCCAAGGTATTCTGCAGGACGGAGGGTGGGGCGCGACAAGGGAGTCACCTGGAGTTCCGCCCCTGCTGCCTGGGCCAACACTAGCCAGACGAGCCACGTGGCTCATTGCCTGGGAAACCCCGGGTCTGGGTCAGTTCCAATGGCTTTGAGTTGCTTTAATCTTGATGATCTGGCAGCTCTATTTTTGTTGTTTCTACTTCCCGGAGTTCATTTTGATAGATATTTTGTATGGTCAGAGGCACATAGGCATTGCACCTTTGTGTTCTTCCCCTAAGAGTTTCCTCCTTTGGTCTCGTTTTGTATGAATGTCTATAGAGTCCAGTACAATTTACCATGTCCCGTGTATTGTAGACCTAGAGAAAACATGCTTCGTTTGTCTCTCTGAGCTAGGCTCATCTCCCTTACCATGATTTGTTCTAGGTCCCTGCAAATGACTTAATACTATTCTAATGGCCATGTAAAATTCTATTGTGTTAAAGGTACCACATTCTCTTGAACCACTCACTCACTATAGGGCATCTGGGCTGTTTCCATAACTTAGCTATTACAGTGAAGTAATGAACATCAGTGTCCAAGTGTTTTTATGGTATCCAAACTTGTGACTGGTCGTCATGGGTCTTGAACTCTGGGCCTGCACCCTGTTCCTCAGCTCTTCAACTCAAGGCTCGTGCTCTACCACTTGAGCCACCTGTTGTTTTGGTGGTTAATTGGAGATAAGATGTTCCTGGCCAGACTGGCTTTGAACCATGATCATCCTCAGATTTCAGTCTCCTGAGCACCAGGCTTGAGCCACTGCTGCCCCGCTGATGGTTCCCTTTTTTTGTTGTTGGTAAGTTTTGGGGCTTGAACTCTGGGCCTGGGTGCTGTTCCTGAGCTATTCAGCTCAAGGGCGAGCATTCTACCATTTGAACCACAGTGCCACTTCCTGGTGGTTCTTTTTTTTTTTTTTTGTCATGGGGCCTGAACTCTGGGCCTGGGCACTGTACCTCAGCTCTTCAGCTCAAGGCTAGCGCTCTTCCACTTGAGCCACAGCACCACCTCCGACTTTTTTTTCTGCTTATGTGGTGCTGAGGAATTGAACCGAGGTCCTTATGCATGCAAGGCAAGCATTCTACCACTGAGCCACCTTCATTTTTTTTAAAGCATATACTGAACTTGAACTTCTGGGCAGTGAACTCCTTGTTTTGTTTTGGTGCAGGTACTTAGACTTGAACTCCTCAAGCTCTTGCTTATTAGCCTTTTCACTCCTAGCTATTTAACATACCTTCACATAGCTTTTTGCTGATTATCTGGAGATTAAGAGTCTCTTGGATTTGCCTCTCTGGGCTAGCTTCAAACTTCAATCCTCAAATCTCAGATTCCAGAGTAGCTTATGTTACAAACTTGAGCCTGGCCACAATGATGATTTGTGTTCAGCCCAGGCTTAAAGAATATGGCATTGAGACTCCTCACTAAAGACACATGGGCTGGGGCTGGGAAGGTGCCTCGGTAGTAGAGTGCTTGCCTCGCATGCATGAGGCCCTGGATTTGATTCCTCAGCACCATAAGCAGAAAAAGTCAGAAGTGGTGCTGTGGCTCAAGTGGTAGAGCGCTAGCCTTGAGCTGAAGGACAGTGCCCAGGCCCAGAGTTCAGGCCCCCCGACTGACCAAAAAAAAAAAAAAAAAGACACATGGGTTTTGCTGAAAAAAAGCAGTTTTTCCTCTGTTGTTTGTGTGTGTGCGCGCGCGCACGCACGTTAAGGCTTGAACTCATGGCCTGGGCACTGTCCTTGGGCTTTTTTACTTTGCTCAAGGCTGGTGCTCTACCACTTGAGCTGCAGCTGCTCAAGGCTGGTGCTCTACCACTTGAGCTGCAGCTCCACTTTTGGCTTTTTTTGGCAGTTAATTGGAGATAAGAGTCTCACAGAGTGTCCTGCCTGGGCTGGCTTCAAACTGCAATCCTTAAATTTCAGCCTCCTAAGTAGCTAGAATTACAGGCATGAGCCACTGGGGCCTGGCTTCAAAGTAACTTTCTTCTTTCTTTGGTGATTTTCTTTTAAAATTGTTATTATAAAGGTGATGTAGCTGGGCACTGGTGGCTCACATCTGTAATCCTAGCTATTCAGGAGGCTGAGATCTAAGGATCACTGTTCAAAGCCAGCCCGGACAGGAAAGTCTGTGAGACTTTTTTTTTTTGTCGGTCGTGGGGCTTGAACTCTGGGCCTGGGCGCTGTCCCTCAGCTCTTCAGCTTAAGGCGAACGCTCTACCACTTGAGCTACAGCACCACTTCTGGTTTTCTGGTGGTTTATTGGAGGTAGTAGTTTCACGGAGTTTCCTGCCCGGGCTGGCTTTGAACCGCGATCCTCAGATCTCAGCCTCCTGAGTAGCTAGGATTACAGGCGTGAGCCACCAGCACCCGGCAGTCTGTGAGACTCTTATCTCCAGTAAACTACCAGAAAACCAGAAATGGCGCTGTGGCTCAAGTGGTAGGGCACTTGCTTTGAGCTGAAGAGCTGAGGGACAGTGCCCAGGCCCAGAGTTCAAGCCTCATGACAAAAGAAATTAAGAAATTAAGAAAGAAAGAAAGAAAGGAAGGAAGGAAGGTGATATAAAGAGAGGTTACAGTTATGTAACTCAGGTAACGAGCACATTTATTTTTGGACAATGTCCCCCTCAGTCTTATCCAATGTTTCCCTCCTGTCCCCACCCACAAATTATATAGTACATTTTCAATATAGTGTCTAGTGAATGCTGCATTTGTTCACCCTTTGTCCCTCCATTTCTGTGCCAAACTAGCTTTTAAAGCCCTAAATAAGTATTTAGAACAGTTCCAATCCCAATTTTTTGGTGGTTAATTGGAGAGACTTTCATGGACTTTCCTGCCTGGGCTAGCTTTGAACTTTGATCCTCAGATCTCAGCCTCCTAGGTAGCTAGGATTACAGGCGTGAGCCACCAATACCTGGCTCTCCTGAGTGTTTTTAGGTGAATACTATCTAGACTTAAGACCTTCTTCTATGAAAGGGTACGTTTTGTACTTAAGGGTCCTTGCTAGGAATGTTTTCAAATAGCAGGACAGGACATGTGAAGCCCATATAAGAGGCTTTCCTCCAACTTTTTTGGGCTAGTGATCCAACCACCAATCCATGTTAGTACCTTATCAAATATCTAGAGGCCATTCAAGTTTTTTGGTTTTTTGCCATTCAAGTTTTAATCACCCAATGTAGAACAACTCAGTCCCCTCCACTGGTTTTGTCAGAAACTAGGAAACTCTGCTGAGGCAGTGGGAAAGCCTTGAGCTGACAGCATGAAGTAGCAGAAGAGGCCATCCATGGGACCTCAGAGATAGCTCCTCCTCCTCCCCCAAATTAAGCACACAACCACAAAAGCCTGCTGCTCTACATCCAGGTTAAACTTGTAATTTGTAGGAAACTCTATAAATAAACCTTAAGTAAGAGTGTTCTCTCGGAACCAGTAACTAAAAGCCATATATTGCAATGGGTTCTTTTATTTCCAATCAGCCAACAGTCCTGATTTAAGGCTTTCTCCCCTTTTTACGCAATGACTGTCCTTCTCCAGAGAAGGCGATGAATCTGCCTCCAGCTTCATCCTGGGTGTAAAGAAATGACAACATTTTCAGAATCTCCCTGGAGGTTTTAAAAGAATTGCCTTATTTTTTTTTAAAAAAGATTCCTGGACATCCTACCCATTTTCCTTACTTATGCATTATTCATAAGAAATGAAATATAGATAAAAATAACAATTTATTACACTAAGAAAATCATAGAATCACAACTACGAGCCTTCAACCACCTGTTTTCAGGCTGAATGTACTGATGCTTCTGTCCTGATAAAGTCATTATAAGGGAGAAATGCATTTAACACACCTAACTTACCAATCAACCTAGCTTAAAAGGTACTGGTTGTTGTTTCCCCTCTGAATTGTGAGGCTGACTGGAAGCTTTGGCTAGCTGCCGCTGCTGTCCAGCATCATGAGAGGATCCTACTGCATACTGCTGGCCCAGGAAAAGATCAAAATTCAAAAATCAAAGTATAGGGCTGGGAAGGTGGCTCAGTGGTAGAGCGCTTGCCTTGCATGCCTGAGGCCCTGGATTCGATTCCTCAGCACCACATAAGCAGAAAAAAAAAAGCCGGAAGTGGTGCTTTGGCTCAAGTGGTAGAGTACTAGCCTTGAGCTGAAGAGCTAAGGGACAGTGCCCAGGCCCAGAGTTCAGGCCCCACAACTGGACCCCCCAAAAAAAAATAATCAAAGAATGGCTTCTACTGTGTATCGTGTAAATGTCACTGTAAAGTGAAGAAGTCAATACTAAACCATGGTAAGTTGAGGATCATTCATATATCCTTTATGGGGCTGGGATGTAGCTGAGTGGCCAAGCGCTTGCCTAGCAAGTGCAACGTCCTGGGTTCGATCCCCAGTACCAAAAAAGAAAAGACAAAAAAAATACAGTTAAAAAAAAACAACAACTCATATATCCTTTATGTAATAATCACTTTTTCTTTTTGTTTTCTTTTCTTTTGCTGGTCCTGGGGCTTGAACTCTTGAGCTCCTATTACTCAAGGCTAGCACTCTATCACCTGTGCCACAGTGCCATTTCCAGCCTTTTCTATAATTAATTGGAGATAAGAGTCTTATAGATGTTCCTGCCCAGGGTGGTTTTGAACCACAACCCTCAGATCTCAGCCTTCTGAGAAGCTAGGTTTATTATTATGGGCTTCTTGAACTTCATCAGCTTTTCTGCTCATGGTTGGGTCTCTACAACTTGAGATATATCTCCACTTCCATAGTGAGATAAATCCCTCATAAAGCCATCTCGGCTCAGTGGTAGAGCACTTGCCTTGCGT